ATGTACTAAAATATAAGTCATGAGAAAGAATGTTACAAATCAATATACAATAACATGTTCCCACATCACTTCTTTCAATTTTATTTTTTCCAAAATTATACCGATATCTAATTATCTTATTTTGGAAAAGCATCATCATCATATATTTTATGTTTTCCTATAAACACATATATTTCAATTGTTATTCAAGAAAAACTATGGATAATTGTTACAAGTTAAAATTGGAACCAAGTGTCATCTTCTACTTTTCTTAATCTTTTATATTAATGATATAAAACAAAGATATAAAACTACTAATTTTCCAAAATAGTATCTTAGTAAATAATGAAACTATAAAGTATATCCAAAACTTGTAGATAAACAATCTAATAAACTAATACTATATATATTTAGTTTATCATCTATTTGGTAAATTATTCACTTTCCTACACAAATGACTAAGTAATTTTGGAACACTAATTAACAAACTAAGACATAAATTGGTAAACTTACATAAGTATTTATACATTTTCATTTCAGAATCTATGCAACACAATCTCTCCAAAAATTTAAAGACTAAAAAATATGAAATTCGCGCGCTGCATTTTCCTCATGACCTCTCTTGCTCTCATGATCCCTCACATTCAAGCAGTCGAATCATCGCAAGAACTGATCGACACTATATGCAGAGAAACCGAAGATTATGAATTTTGCAATGAAATCATCCAAAAAAACGCAAACGCATCAACGGCTAATCTCCATGACCTCACCGATCACATAATCATACTCTCTATGAAACACGCCAGCGATACTTACACGTTCATTGGTAACATCCTCCGTAAACGACATGAATCTGATGAGGAGACAGCTGGTCTCAATACATGTCTTGGTGTTTACAATAGCGAGAGCACTATATTCGTAATAGTACATGAACACTTTTATCTAAGGGAGTATGAACGTATGATTCTAGCCATTTTGTCCACAACCAAGATCTTGAAAGATTGTAAGACCGATTTTCCGGTTCCTCCTAACAAGGAGAATCCTCTAATTGAGAAGAATAGGGAGATGAGAATCTTGATCACCATGTCTACTGTTTCGGGATATATGCTCATCAATGGAAACCATTCCTTGCTTAGCTCAGTAGTTACCGGGCTTGAAGTTTCTCAATAATTAAGTTAATATCTTAGTTTGCACAACTAAAGTTTCTCAAGTATAAAAAAAAACTAACAAGAGAAACATGCATTAATTTGTTCAAAAATCTTCAAAAACTCATGATTATATATGTATGTTATTTATGAGTTTCTATCGCAAAAATAATATACATAATGATTCATATGCTATAATATCATCTACTTTTCAACATATCACACAACCTTATTAACAAAAAAACGTTATGTCGAAAAGTAGAAGAAGCATACTATAGTATCGAATAAATTATTATACTCATTATTAAAATAACGTTTTTTCGAATAAGGTTTTGTGGCGATTTGTTCATGAATTCGTCCTATTATCTAGATAAACAAGATGAAAATTACTGGTAAAATGACATATGACTGTTTTAATGGACAGTTCCATTTAATTCTAATGGGGAATCATGCACACAACAAATTAAGATATTTTGATTGATTCACATAAATCACAAGTTTTATAAAATTCGGTTGTTTAATGCTTACATTAAAAATTTTGCTATTGTTATTTCAATTTTCAAGATTAGAGACTACTATATAGTATTATATTTTTTTGTCTTGACTTCGGATTGAGGTTAAAGTTTTTCTTTTGCAATATGAGTTCGTTTGGAAAGGCAAATAAATTTACATTTAAATTTGTAACTGTTGAAGTTAAAACATGTTGGACTAAATAAAACGGTCGGTGATTAAAAAAAAAAGTATATGTCAAATTCTAAATGACACGTGGCAGTTTTTCAGAGAGTACTATTTGTTGAAAAAAAACCTTATATACCATTTCACAAATGCTCACACACACAACTTTGGTAACTTGATGTAATAAAGGTTAATCCACAAATTGTTTTGACTTTTGACTGATTCATTCATATGCCTAATTTTCAACTACAAAGATAAGATATCATCAATTCCATACTCACATCACCACACATTCACAACTTACAAAAACAATACATGAAAATGTATCGCATACTATTGACATTTTTGGCGATTATACTTGCTTGCTCCGTTTCAGAAGCCTTTCTCGATCGAAAAACTCAACAAAAGGTCAATGGAATCTGCAAACAGACACCAGACACCAGATTCTGCAGTAGTGTCTTTGCCAAAAGCATGATTCCTTCTTCCCCAAGCAACAAAGATCTCATGAACATGACAGTAAGACAAGCTGAAAGATTTTCAGCCAACACAAATTTCTTCATCAGCACGCTTCTTAGGAATGCCGGAGACGAGAAGCCCGATCTTCAAATGTGCGCAGAAGCTTACACCATTGTAGACATGGCGTTCACAAATGCTGTCTCTTACTTTGATCAAGGACTCTACAATAATATCCTCAAGCTTCAAAAGAAAGTTTCTAGAGGGGTTAGTATCTGTAAGACAGATTTTATTGTGCCTGGTTATAAGATCAATCCGTTGATTGAGAAAAACAGAGACGCCATGGTGTTTATGGCCATGGAAAAGATCGTTAGTCGTATGGTTGCTTCATAATGTAAATGTTGAATACATCATATAGAAGCAAATGTTTTTCAGAAATATTATAATTAAATAATTTGAGTTCTCTATATGCATATATGTTCATGTTGGTGAAAAAATGAAAATGAGGTTGGATTGATCAATTTTGATACAGATAATCTCCTTTGGAATATAAGATTTTGCTATATATGCTTTTGCCTTATTTTACCATTTTGTTATAAGATTTAATTCCTTTTCAATTTTATTTTTATGGATTCATTCTTATCTCTAACTCAGCCCGGTCAATTATCCTTAATATTGGATATTAATGTCACTCTAACAATGATTTCTTCATCAAACATAAAAAATTTGGGTCTATGAAAATATAGAGATCATAAGTGAAATTTGCAGTGTCCATGCGATCAACACTCGAATAACACACAAATTTAACACTCCATCATTAATGGCCTCAAAATGTGATTCAAATCAAACACTCAGAAAATACATAGTTCCAGTAACTTAGACATCAAGAAATCCCCAAAAGGATCATAGCTCATACTTAAAAATGATGAAGAAGCATCAACGTTTTAAGGCGATATAGGTCTAGCAGAACCATTGCCACTACCTCCTGCAGCTGCTGCTCCTCCTCCGACCGGTAATCTAGATTCAATATCTTCATCATTAATATCTCTTTTGACAATGTGTTGTTGTTTCACCTTCTTTTGGTTCTCTTCTTCCTCTTCCTTCTCACTGATCTCTCTGTCTTTCCCCCACAAAACTCCATACAGCCCAATAACCACAAGTGCTGATCCCATAAACCTAAAAAATATACATATAAATCATCTAGTTCATCATCATCCCATATTATATATAATGTTTAAATGTAGAGATTCTTGTTACATACGTGCCGGTGTAGAGTTTCTCGTCAAGAAGAGACCAGCTGAAAATCGCGACGACTACGAGAAGTAAAGGACTGAAAACAGAGACGTAAAGAGGACCTTTCCTCTGTATCGCCCATGACATTAAGCAGAACGCTAACGCAGACGCCACCACTCCCTGCGTCCGCGTTTTTAGATTAATATCATATGTGATGTATATATTAGGTTAACAAATGTTTTTATTTAATCATATAGTGTGGTACTTACCGCGTAAAGGGCTGAGACTAGACGGAGAGGAGAGGTGAGAGACCAATCAGAGAGTTTATGATCAGAGGTCAAAGCGATTGCTCCACATTGGATACTTCCCATCAAACACATTAAGAGTGTGCTTGTGTATGGTGCTGCAAATGTTTCACTCATCTTTGTCTGGATAATGAACCAAACGGCCCAAGAAACTGCAGCAGCCATGATTAAGAAAGGTCCCAAGAAGAAGTTAGAAGAACCGGTGGAATTGGTGCCATGGCTCGTGATGTTTTGACCATAGGTCCAATGGATCTTGGACTCTCCAATACCAATGGTGTGACCATGGTAGAAGGATAGAACCATGGCTCCGACCACACATACTATTGTTCCTACCACTTTGGCTTGTCCTGATGGTTTTTTTATCCCTACGGCTTCTTGTCTGAAAAGTTTTGTTTTGTGTTGTTATAAACACTTAGTATAAAACGAGTTTTGTTTAATCAAAACTTTATTAGTAATTAATCAAGAGTTATATAGAACCTGAAGATTGCGGCGAGGAGGAAAGTGACGGCTGGTAAGAGATTAGTTAAGGCACAAGCAATGGTCGGAGATGAGTTTTGAAGTCCTACGAAGTATAGCACTTGGTTTCCGGTCACACTGCAAGTCAAATCAAGATTAATTAATAGCGGTATAATTAAACAACATTAATAAATAGTTTTAAAATGAGATTACAATTAATTAGTAGTGTAAAATGTATATATGTAAAATACCCAGTAATTGAGCATAAGAAGATTTGGAGAAGAACCCTTATTGTGATCTTGGGTCTTGTCTTCCTGCACAAGAAACCATGTATGAAATTTACGTTTTTATTAGTCACTAATCATTAATCAGGTAACATCGAATGTAATAAGTTGATAACAAAAGAAACTGGTTTAATCCCAAGCCCTAACACTGATGAACCAATCAAATTACATATTCGAAAAGAACATGAATTATTCAAAGAAAAACTTCAATTTCATC